AACCACTTCTTCAGGCAGGGATTCCACATCCTGATTGTTCTTACAGTAAAAAAACCTTTCCTTTGCCTTAGACAAAATCTTCTTTCTTCCAGTCTAAACGCATGGCCTCGTGTCCTATGTAAGGTCCGGTTTGTGAATAGATTGCCACACAATGGTTTGTATTGGCCCCGAATATATTTGTATAATGTTATCATATCCCCTCTCAGGTGACGTTTTTCTAAACTAAATAGGTTTAAATTTGTTAACCTTTCTTTATAGCCGATATGTTCCATTCCTTTTATTAGTTTTGTAGCCCGCCTCTGCACTTTTTCTAGTGCCATAATATCCTTCTTTAGAACAGGAACCCAAAATTGCACAGCATATTCAATATGGGGTCTTAACAGTGATTTATAAAGAGGCAAAATTATATTCTTGTACCGAGAATGAATGCCCTTTTTCATGCATGACAATACCTTACTGGCCTTGGCCACTGCTGATTGACATTGCACATTGTTGCATAGTTTGTTGTCTATAACAATTCCCAAGTCCTTTTCATGTGTTGTTATCCCTAATTCGCTTCCATTAAGGGTATACGTTGCTTGTGTATTCTTTACGCCGAAGTGCATAACTTTGCATTTTTCAACATTAAATTTCATCTGCCATTTGAGTGCCCAGTCCCCCAGTCTATCTAAATCCCTCTGCAGCAAAGTAATATCTTGCTCACATTGTATTGTTTTACAAAGTTTGGTGTCATCTGCAAACACTGAAACATGACTTTCAATGCGGTCTTCAAGATCATTTATAAACATGTTAAATAGAAGGGGTCCCAGAACAGACCCCTGAGGGACACCACTTGCCACCTCTGTCCAGCTTGAAAATTTACCATTAATGACAACTCTTTGTACTCTGTTTTTAAGCCAATGTTCTACCCAAGAACAAGCATTTTCATCTAGACCGATTTCCTTGAGTTTGAACACTAATCTATTGTGTGGAACTGTATCAAATACCTTGGCAAAATCCAAATAGATCACATCCACGGCAACACCCTGATCTATACTTCTACTTACTTCTTCGTAGAACGCAATCAAGTTAGTTTGACATGACCTGTGCTTCATAAAACCGTGCTGATTTTTGCTGATAACCATGTTCTTCTCAAAGAATTCTTGAATATTATCCCTTAATAACCTTTTAAATATTTTACCAGCCACAGAAGTTAAGCTCACAGGTCTATAATTTCCAGGCAAGGATTTTGAACCCTTTTTGAATATAGGAACCACATCTGCCTTCCTCCAATCCTCCAGAACACTTCCTGAAAGAAAAGAATCTTGAAAGATTAAAAACAGAGGTTCACTTATTTCTGCACTTAGTTCCTTAAGTACACGTGGATGGATACCGTCAGGCCCTGGAACTTTGTTTATATTAACTTTCTTTAGTTGCTGCAGCACCTTGTCTTGAGTTAACCAATTACAATTATTCTGCAAGTTTTTAGTAGCAATCATTTGCACATCTATTGCCATGGGTTCTTCCTTAATATATACGGAGGAGAAATAGTTATTTAAAATTCCTGCCTTTTCCTGGTCTTCATTAATTAACACCCCCGTTTCAGTTTTTAGTGTACCTACACTTTCATTTTTTTTTTTTTTAGAATTTATGTACTTAAAAAATGCTTTGGGGTTGGTTTTGCTCTCTTCAGCTATCATTATTACATTTTGAAGTTTAGCAAGTCTAATTGCCTTTTTGCATGCATTATTTGCATCCTTGTATCTTTTATAAGATGCATCTGATTTGTCCGATTTAAATGCTTTAAATGCCCTTTTCTTAGTTGTAATCTCTTGTTTTACTTCTCTACTAAGCCACATTGGTTCAATCTAATTATCACAGGTGTCCGAGATTGTTTTCAGTGATCAAAAGAGCCCTGAGACACAATGCCATCCATAAGTTAAACTGAAAAACAAAATATTTAATCTTTGTGACACTTAAATACAATTTGCATAATAATTTGGAACAGGGTGTATTAAGAGATGACCCTATTCTAAATAAAATTTTATCGGTGGAATCTAAAATTATTTACAGAGGGGCAAAAACATTTTAAAAATATTTTAGTTAATAGTCATCTTAGTCCCCAAAAATGTAACCATTTTTTACAAGATTTAAAAGGATTTTATGGATGCGGCTCCTGTCTACCATACAAAGAAACTAAAAATAAAAGACGACATATAGTTAACCTAGAGCAATTTACTAACAAAGAATACGCCATAACTGACCATCTCAAATGTCACACAAAGGGAGTCATATACGAATTACAATGCCCATGTAACTTATTGTATGTGGGCAGAACAATTAGATCATTAAAGATCCGGATTGCAGAGCACATGAGAAATATTAAAAATGGCTTAGAAACCCACAGTGTTCCTCAACACTTTAAAAGAGTACACAATCAGAATCCGGTAGGCCTCTCCTTTTGCGCAATTAAGGAAGTTAAAAGAGATTGGAGAGGAGGTAACTATATTAAAAAAATGGGTAGAGAGGAGATTAAATTTATATTTAACTTCTTTACACTAACATAGAAACATAGAATGTGACGGCAGATAAGAACCATTCGGCCCATCTAGTCTGCCCAATTTTCTAAATACTTTCATTAGTCCCTAGTCTTATCTTATAGTTAGGATAGCCTTATGCCTATCCCACGCATGCTTAAACTCCTTTACTGTGTTAACCTCTACCACTTCAGCTGGAAGGCTATTCCATGCATCCACTACCCTCTCGGTAAAGTAATACTTCCTGTATTATTTTTAAACTTTTGTCCCTCTAATTTAAGACTATGTCCTCTTGTTGTGGTAGTTTTTCTTCTTTTAAATATAGTCTCCTCCTTTACTGTGTTGATTCCCTTTATATATTTAAATGTTTCTATCATATCCCCCCTGTCTCGTCTTTCCTCCAAGCTATACATGTTAAGGTCCTTTAACCTTTCCTGGTAAGTTTTATCCCGCAATCAATGAACCAGTTTAGTAGCCCTTCTCTGAACCCTCTCTAAGGTATCAATATCCTTCTGAAGATACGGTTTCCAATACTGTGTACAATACTCCAAGTGAGGTCTCACCAGTGTTCTGTACAATGGCATGAGCACTTCCCTCTTTCTACTGCTAATACCTCTCCCTATACAACCAAGCATTCTGCTAGCATTTCCTGCTGCTCTATTACATTGTCTGCCTACCTTTAAGTCATCAGAAAAATAATACCCCTAAATCCCTTTCCTCATATGTTGAGGTTAGGACTCTATCAAATATTCTGTACTCTGCCCTTGGGTTTTTACGTCCAAGATGCATTATCTTGCACTTATCCACATTAAATGTCAGTTGCCACAATTCTGACCATTTTTCTAGTTTACCTAAATCATTTGTCATTTGGCTTATCCCTCCTGGAACATCAACCCTGTTACATATCTTGGTATCATCAGCAAAAAGACATACCTTACCATCAAGACCTTCTGCAATATCACTAATAAAAATATTAAAGAGAATGGGTCCAAGTACAGATCCCTGAGGTACCCCACTGGTGACAAGTCCAAGCTTCGAATATATTCCATTAACTACAACCCTCTGTTGCCTGTCACTCAGCCACTGCCTTACCCATTCAACAATATTGGAATCCAAACTTAAAGATTGCAGTTTATTGATAAGCCTTCTATGTGCAACAGTGTCAAAAGCCTTACTGAAATCTAGGTAAGCAATGTCTACTGCACCACCCTGATCTATAATTTTAGTTACCCAATCAAAAAAATCAATAAGATTAGTTTGGCATGATCTCCCTGAAGTAAACCCATGTTGTCTCTGATCTTGAAATCCATGTGTTTTTAGATGTTCAACAATCCTATCCTTTAACATGGTTTCCATCACTTTCCCCACTACTGAAGTAAGGCTTACTGGCCTATAGTTGCCCGACTCCTCCCTATTACCTTTCTTGTAAATGGGCACAACATTCGCTAACTTCCAATCTTCTGGGACTACTCCTGTTAACAATGATTGGTTAAATAAATCTGTTAATGGTTTTGCTAGTACACCACTAAGCTCTTTTAATAGCTTTGGGTGTATTCCATCAGGTCCCATTGACTTATTTGTCTTTACTTTTGACAGTTGAAATAGAACCTCCTCCTCTGTAAACTCACGTGTAATAAATGACTCATTTATCCTTTTTCTCAACTGAGGTCCCTTTCCTTCATTTTCTTCTGTAAATACAGAACACAAATATTCATTGAGGCAGTCAGCCTGACCTTTATCCTCTTCTACATACCTTCCTTCTTTTGTTTTTAATCTAACTAATCCTTGTTTTACTTTTCTTTTCTCATTTATGTATCTAAAAAATGTTTTATCCCCCTTTTTTACTGACTGTGCTATTTTCTCTTCTGTGTGTGATTTGGAAGCTCTTATAACTTGCTTAGCCTCTTTCTGCCTAATCTTATAGATCATTTTGTCTTCCTCACTCTGGGTTTTTTTATAATTCCTAAATGCTAACTTTTTGTTTTTAACTATTTTGGCCACATCTGCGGAGTACCACAGTGGTTTCTTGAATTTTTTGCTTTTACTGACAAGCCTAATGCAATTTTCTGTTGCCTTCAATAGTGCAACTTTTAAATAATCCCATTTCTCTTGGATTCCATTTAAATTGCTCCAGTCTGATAATGACTCCTCTACCCATATTCTAATTTTAGAAAAGTCTGTTTTTCTAAAGTCTAAAACTTTTGTTTTTGTGTGGTGTGACTCAGTCACTGTTCTTATATTAAACCACACTGACTGATGATCACTGGATCCTAAACTTTCACCTACAGTAATATCTGATACCAAATCTCCATTTGTTAACACTAAATCTAGTATGGCCTCTTTACGAGTTGGCTCCTCAACAACTTGTTTTAGAGACAATCCCAGTAGGGAGTTTAGAATATGTGTGCTCCTGGCACAAGTAGCTAATTTTGTTTTCCAATTTACATCAGGAAGATTAAAGTCACCCATGATGATAACTTCCCCCTTCATTGTCATTTTAGCTATTTCCTCAACTAGTAGATTATCTAACTCTTCAATTTGTCCTGGGGGCCTATAAATCACACCTACACGAGTTACTGTGTGATTACCAAATTCTAACGTAGCCCAAACGGACTCTATGTTTGCCTAACTAACTTTTATTAGGCTAGATTTTATGCTATCCTTCACATACAAGGCCACCCCTCCCCCTTTCTTGCCTTCCCTATCTTTCCTATATAAAGAGTACCCTGGTATTGCTATGTCCCGGTCATTTTACTCATTGTACCATGTCTCAGTAACAGCGACTAAATCTACACTATCAGTTGCCATTATTGCCACAAGTTCATGGATCTTATTCCCTAAACTGCGGGCATTTGTAGACATGACTCTAAGCTTATCATTTTTTAACACACTTGCTACAGGCACCTTCTGTCCTTGTTTTGGGGGACAATTGGATTGATGTTTTATCACCCTTTTGCCCCCTCCTCCTAGTTTAAATACATCCTAGCAAAACCTCTGAACTGCTCACTGAGAACATTTGTTCCCTTTTGAGAAAGATGCAAACCATCTTTTTTGTACAGCTTATCTCCATTCCAAACAGAGCTACCATGAGAAATAAAGCCAAATCCTTGCTCCCGACACCATTCACCAAGCCACAAATTAAAGTCCCTAATACGCATCCGCCTGTCGTTCTGAGTGTTATGCACAGGCAGAACTTCAGAGAATGACAGTGTGGAAGCAACCTGCCGTATATCATTGGCAAAAACACTAAAAACTTCCTTAACCTCTGAAACCTCATTGCAAGCCAAGTCATTTGTCCCTAGATGGACAAGTACATCCAATTCCCCTTCCTGCTTTGCTTGCTTAACAGTATTACAGATACGTCTCCTGTCTCTGTGAGCAGTAGCTCTGGGAAGATACCTCACAAGACCACCATTGTCCATCTCCACACCTCTTATAATGGAATCACCCAACAACAACTGCTTTCTATTAGGCCTCACCATAGTCTCCAAGCCGGTCTCCACAACACCACTAGCCTCAGTGCCTCTCTCCACAACACCACTAGCCTCAGTGCCTCTCTCCACAACACCACTAGCCTCACTCTGTCCACAACACCACTAGCCTCAGTGCCTCTCTCCACAACACCACTAGCCTCACTCTCTCCACAACACCACTAGCCTCAGTGCCTCTCTCCACAACACCATTACACTCTGGAAGTGCAGAAAATTAATTATGAAGAGCAACAGACTGTGCAAAATGCCTTTTATCCACAACTCTAAGTCTACCAGATCCTACAGTAATCCATCTGCCATTCCTAGTATGTCTCTGCGGCAGTGGCTTTGCAGCAGTTCCAGTCTGAGTTTCTTCACCAGATAATTTACAAATCTCAGACTTCAAAAATACAATCTCCTGCCGCAAGAAAGAGAACTGTCTACAGATTAGACAACAACCAAACCTCCAAAAAGTGGAACGTGAAGCAAATGCATAGCAATTGTTACACTGAACTAAGCCTGCCATTCCAATTATGAGAATAATTTAATTCTAACAAATCTTAACTTTTTTCTTTATCCTCCTGAATACCTCAGATTACTTCCAGTTTCTCTCCAGAATATCTCCAACTACACACTTAGAAACAGCACTTTGAAGTAGCACCAAGTTATATTAGACAAGCTAATGACACCAGGCCTTATATAACTCCTAAAATCACCGCCCACTAGGAATGTTTAACACCTGGGTAGGCCTCTGCTTATTTGCAAACAATAGCTAATTAACCAGCAATTAACAGCAAGTAACTAGCTTAATCAAATCAAATGCCTTATAATTACCAACAGGAATTCAAACCTTGTGCAATCAGTAACCTTTTCCTACAGATGAATCTTACCTGTAACAGTAGAAAAGAAGGCTCTTAGCACAACTCTTAGACAGTTGAAGCTTCTGTAAAACTCTCCAGAATATCTCCAACTACACACTTAGAAACAGCACTTTGAAGTAGCACCAAGCTAACCACTAATGCCCCACGGATTGAATTCGGGTTTTGAAGTGTGCCATTTTTAAGTGGGATTCTGATTTTGAGTAACATATTTTCATTCGTAGTGGGCCATTCTTAACTAGCATCTTAGTACAGCATACATTTTATATTATATTATTCATTTTTTATTATATTTAGATTGTTATTGTTGTAATTATAACAATTCTATATTTTAGAACATCTTAACATTCACTACCATATTTTATGTACCAATCCAGTGACCCATTTTCAAATAGAGAAGTTATGTCTATCTTTATGTTAATTATTCCCCTCCCCTTTTTTCCCCCTCCTATTTTTAAGTATTTTTATGAAGTATTAATGAAATAAACCAAAATTGGTCTGTATCTCCTTTCTGGATATTGCTATAAACGAAAAAGTGGTCTGCATCTTTTTTCTGTATATTGTTATAAGCTCAATAGAGATGTGGGGCGTGGCCTGAGCGCCAACCGGGATGGACGCCTGATCCGTGAGCTCCGTGCCGCCAGCGATCACAAAGCCTGCTAAAAAGCACCCAGCAGCATTTATGGGACGCCACCAACGCACCGATAACCCCCAGATCCCCAGGGGATCACAACTGGGTCAAACACTCTGCCCGATGGACGGATTCTTCCAAACCCAGCCTGAGCCAAGCGGGGAAGCAAGCAGCTCCAATATGGCGCCAACGGCCCCATCCCCCAGGGAACCGCATGGCGCCGCGCTGGAGAGGATAGGAGACGAACTCCGCACCATGGCAGTGGCAATGGCTACCAAAACGGACTTCCTGGTCCTTACCACTACCATCCAGGATGCACTCAGGGCAGAGATGGCGGGAATGCGAGTGGAGGTGACGGCGCAGGTGGGCCGCATCCAGGAACTGGAACAATCGCAAGTAGCCCATACCACCAGGCACCAGACACAGTCCTTGCACGTCAAGGGGAGCTATTGCTGCACATGAGAAGGTCAGTAGAGGATTTAGATAACAGGGGGTGCAGGTGCAATATTAGGGTCCGAGGGGTCCCTGAAAACGAGGGTGGGGAAGAAGATATAATGGACACTCTAACTAGCCTATTCCGCCTGATACTGGGGGAAGACACACCCGTACCCTTAAATTTGAATGTGCACACAGAGCCCTGCGCCCCCGGTCCCTAGAAGATGGGCCGCGGGACTTAATATGCTGCCTCGACCTCTTTCAGGATAAGGATGCCATCATGAGAGCAGCCCATTCCCGCCCGTCCTGGGATTTTAAAGGGGCCCCTGTCTCCTTATTCAATGACCTCTCACCCATTACACTTGAGGTCAGGAGAGCTTTGAAACCCATAACCACAGCCTTACAGGAGCGAAACATACCTTACAGATGGGGCTTCCCCTTTGCTTTGTTAGCACGCAACCAGAATGGATGGGTGTCTGTCAGATGGCCCGAGGAGATCCCGAGATTCCTGGAGGAAATGAACCTGCCCCCGATATCCGTTCAGGACTGGGTCCTGGGCCCACTGGGAGAGAGGCCCTGCCAGCAGAGGGCACCCCGGAGGCGAGGGGATGATCCGCCACGGGCCCAGCACTCCATAGACCCAACAACCCAGAGGCACCTGAATAATAGGTAGGCCTGCTCCCCCCCCCCCAGACCCCTCCTTGCGGGAGAGCTCCTTGCCCTACACGGACACGATAATGGGAACTGATATCACCCCTACCCACTCTGCGGAGGGGAACATTGTGTGGATGCCCCCTGCCTTGCCCCCGAATACGACCCTGCCCCATCACCAGGAGGTTATCCCTGATTCCCGTATCTCCACGAGGCCTTGGGTGAGGTATAGGGACACTGTTTCTCCTCCTGATTGACTGGGGGAAAATAGGGGGGGAACTATTGCCATGTGGTTTCACACGGGGAACAATGCCGTGAGCTAACGTTGGGGAGGGGGATTGATGGGGGGAACTTTCTGCTTAGGGTGGGCCCTGATATTGGCCTCACAGCCCTTGCACTGTTTCAGTGGCAACAGGGGACATATATGCTCAAGACGGGTCAGAGTCCGGCGGGACATTGATGCTGCGAACTACACTGACTCTTTTGTAGACCCGCACTCTGGACCCATGGTACAGGGCGGTGCCACCCAGTATACAACACTGGTCATTTATCTCATCCCACAAACCCCCTCAAGCATTGCAAATATGGGTTACACACAACATACTGTTCTTGAATTTTATGTTTCATATAGCCATTGTACATATGTTGTAAAGACTTACGCATAGCACACTTACTAACCGCGTTACCCCCGGGATGGAGGGGGAACAGGGCCCGTGACGCGACTGACATTGAGGGGCATACTCCCGGGGGGGGGGGGGGGAGGGGCTTGGCAAAGAGCCACCATGATAGGTGTACACATGGGGGGGTGGGGGGGACCTGAGTGAGCATCACTCAGTTATTAGCCGTCTATGAGGAGTGCCCTGGGGACCTGGGGGAGGGAGATAGATGGAGGACTGAGCAAAGGGAATAATAGAATGTTTATATAAAGTTTTTAAGTTTGAATAATGTTTCCAGGCTGCCCTGTTGATACAAAGTCGATCTATTCATGTTCATTCGCAACAACTCTATCAGGTGGCACCCTAACATTTGGATACTTCCTACAGCACTAGGCTGTGGCGCTGGCGGGGGAGACCAATAGGTTCTATCACATCTCATAACCACACCGGATCGGAGCGCAGTCACCGACTCCACCTAAGGGTCGTGCATTTTCGTTGACAGCGGACCTCCGGGGGTCCACATCTCAGTCTGTTTACTGGAGTGGCGCCCGATTTATACGAAGGAGGGGTTGATGTGTATCCCCTTCCTACTCCGCTCTTCCATAGGGGAACTCTGTTTTACCCAATTTTTTACTCTTTTTCTCTCTACTTGCTGCATCCGATTCTACCTACACCCCCCCTAGCTCTAGCATGGGCACACACCATACACGCAACGCGCACCCCACTCATATCGGTAACACTTTTAACCGACTGCCAATAATACAGCAACACCCATTGATAAAGTCGGCAGAGATTAGGGAGGGGAATGGGGTCAATACCGTACACGACAACTTTTTGCACGGGTGACCCAATCTCTTAACTGGGGAACGCAGACCGGCCCTCCACTCCTGTGACTACACGAACACTAAATCCTTGTGGAATACACCCATGGGCGGGAACCCGATGGGACTCCACGACTAGCTACAGGGCGGGA